TTATTTATGTCACAACAGGATGGCCCTGAAGGCAACTCTGATACTGCTACCCTTGCTTGGAGTCACGTGGTTATTGGGTTTCTTGCAAGCTAACTCTGACTCAGCTGTCATGTCTTACGCCTTTGTTCTCCTCAACTGCGTGCAGGTCATTAGAAGTGTTTGTAACTTTAAACTTTGATTCAAGTTCTTTTTTTTCAAACCAATTTATTAGCTGTAACAATAGTCGATGTACGTAATTAATGGAGCTACCTAAGCCCTTGTGTTATGGTCGTAGTTTCTGTTTCTTCCGCTTAATGTTTGTTTTGCATTGATTTCTCTACAGGGGGTTTACTTCTTCGTAATTAACATAGTCCTCAATCAGGAGGTAAGGCTGTATTTATGCTTAAAATATCTAATTTTGCCCATAAACTGATTTATAGTAAATCCAATTAATTTCATATATAGCGTAACAGTAAGGAAAACACACGTTTTCTATTTGTTTGTTTTTTAGGTTTCCACGGCGTTTAAGAAGAAATTCTTAAAGAAAAACTACTCCTGGGCTGCATTTCGCTTTTCTTCATCGTCTAAGATGCATGACAGTGTCAGAGAGGGAGACATTTTATCTGCGTCTGTGAAAAGGGTCAGAAAAGAAATCCTTACTAGTCATTTTAACTGCACTTTCGTTGACTTCATGTATTTGGAATTACTAACTGTCAGCTTTCCTGTCAGAAGAAACACTGTCGGTCGAGCAGCAAGATTGAGAATTCCAGTACTTGGTTATGTTAATGTATTTTAAAATAGTGCATTAATTTATATGTTAATTCAGGCCAGGACAGCAAGGGATTTGTAATTGTAACCACAGTCTAAATAAGTACACCTATACAGACATTAGGGTCATTGTGGGGACATTTAAACGTTTTTTTCAATTTTTCTCATCAATTCTTTTAGGCCACAGCTTACTCCAATGAGTCCTTTAGTTCTCGCAAGTCGTTTGTGAAAAGACAAATGGAAGAAGGAAGAAATGAGAACAGTCTGTACGCGCCAAACACGCAAATAAAGGTAGCTGAAATAACTTCCTCTTAGAGTATACAACCAAACGGAAGCATATACGAAAACGCAATCAGATCACGATGCCGAATAAATTATGTATATGTAACTTGTGTGAAAAAGGCGAAGGTTCCCCATGTCTGTTATAATAAATTATTTTTACCATTATTCAGCCCCGACACCGTCTCCACTGTCATACAACTGGTGCCTGATCATGTTCAAATCCGCCATGGATCTAGATATAGTATGAATTACAGCTTTCCCATCGTCTAAAATGTCATCGAGTAAAGTGACAGTTCATCAAGAGGCGAACTGATACAGGCAATACTTACAGAACATCAAGCATCAAGACAACATGTTATATATGATGTTCTGCCAGTCTCACCAGTTATGCGCAAAACTCAACAATTATTGGACTAGGTTGAGCAAAATATCGTGATTTGTCAATTGCGAGGAGATCAATTTACTATTATCTGCGAGACACTGACAAATCTTGATATCTTTCGATAATCGAGTTTAACAATTGTTTCATCATTCGATCACTAGCTCTGACAGCTTATATCACTAGCTCTGACAGCTCAGGGAAGCGATCAGCCATTTTTTAGACAAGAGCGTGGTTACAATTACGCATGAGCAGAATATTTTTTGCAGCAAAACAGATTTAGAAGGTACTACGCATGAGCAGACCATTATTTGTTGGCAGTCATTTGCAGGCCGATGAAAAGGAAGAAAAATTTGATCGAATGAAAATAAATATTAATTAATTTACTGTCAATAAACTGATTAATGTTTAATTAATGTACTGTCAGTGAACTGATTGGTGTTTTCTTTCTCTGTCGCAGAGACAGTGGCAGGAAGTTAATGACTACTGACTGAACTGCAGCTCTTGATCCATGTTTCCTACTTTCCATTGTCAGTGCATGTTTATGACGCTCTGCTAAACTAGATATTTCATTATTGTTCTGTCCTTGAGTTGATTACGTTTGCAGTCTTCATCACGAGATCAGCGTAGCGACAAGTAAACAATCGACTTCGTCACCTGATGAAAGACTTCCAGTGTTACATTCGGAACGTCACAATCAACTCCTCATGTGACGCCGTAATGAGACAAGTGAATAAAAGTTCACGTATCTTTCAAACCACATCTTAAATTCTATCCGTGTAGCGCCACGTTAAATAAATGCCTTATGATATTCAGCATTTAAGAGGCCAAAAGACAAGCGTCACAAAAATTAATATGATAAATAAATAGTAAATAATATGTAAACAGTTAACTAGTTATGAAAGCACTTTATTTTTAGTAAAAATAAAGGTTTACTGGCTATAAAGATTAAACTGCACTGATGAATAATATTAAGTCAAGTACGTCATTACCTTGATCTAATAAAGAAAATTGTTGTCTCATGCAGTTTGTTTGTTGTGCCTTAGTTGCTTTTCGCCAAAGATATACGACTGTATTTGTTTTTCTGTTGTTTTGTTTGTTTGCTTGTTTCGGTTTTGTTTGCTTTTGCCGAGTGTCTTTTTCCGAGTATTCTCGCAGTCAATTTCAAATTTCAAATAAGAGTTGTACACCCCTGACACCGCCAAACCCGATTGGACGTCATTGTCGCCTTTCCAACGCTTCTTTAATAACGAAAAGGTGTTAAGGGACAATTAATGTCAGGAATTGCGCATGGGCGACGTTTCGATGGACACTTGAAAGGTCTAGGCTGAATTTTTTAAGTTTAGTTCAACAAATTCAATTTTGCAGGGTCATATGCACCGCCGGAGAAAGGAGGAAAAAAGGAACTTGCAAATCTACTAGATCAGCCGGAATTTGATGACGTCCATAGTTAAAGACTCCACACATGACTCGCTGGATGATCTATTTGCTCATCAAATCACAAGACAAACTTGTAGTTGGGGACTTATGGCTAACATATTTTTATGCTTCCAGAGAAGTTGCACAAGCATCTCGATCCTTGGAGGCGCGGGGCAATTTCTCTCCGGGATAGCTCTGTGATTGGCGACTAATAAGTGGCCTCTCCAGCAGAAAGTAATATGTTGGGGTCTAGGGAGGAAATCGTTAGCAAAACTTGAAGGAAACTTCCCTGAGCGGTAAACATGGGTTTTGACACCATCTTATAGGGTTGGGCAGGCCAGTTTTATAGCCCACTTTAAGGAAAGACCGCATCAGAGAGCATTTTGGGGGTCTGGGAGGAAATGTTGCGAGATCATTGTATAAGGGTAGGAGGAGATAGGCTCCGAGTGTAGCACAATTCCTAAAGAAAAGGAATGGAATGGAACAAAACTTCACATAGGAAAAGGGGATGTTGCAATAGGGTTAGCTGCACGTTAACACATTTCATTGAACTGAGTAAAGCAAAGGATATAGGTCTCTCAGAAAGGCTTATACTCGGTTCTATTCAAAGAGTGTTGAGACGTCTGTATGTTAAATAAATATTTAGAAAAACATAACACAGCTATAAATCAGCTCAAGGCTCTTGTGCTTGCTTTACAAGTGGGTTTCTTGTACTTATGGCTATGCTTGTGTGGCACCTACAAAGCCGCCTTGTGTCGTTGCTGTCCTTGCAATCCAATTCTTCTGCTCCTGTTTTGTAAGCATGCTTTGAGTTTTAGTAGGCTCAACTAGTAAAATTTTGCAATCAGAATGGAAAGAAGAATTCTCTAACGAAATTCATTGGCAAACGACAACATCATAAACTGAGGAACATGTAACAAACTTGCACCTAAACGTATGTACGTGTGAATTCCAAATCACGTGGCTGTTTATTGATCTGAATACTGCGCGTGTTTGATTAGACCTCCATCGTGGTACCTAACCAGCTGCAACGAGAAGTCAAAACCACGCTCCTTCTGGAATATTTTTTGGCGCTGGAATAGTAAGTTGCTTTGCTCTGGCCCAAGCTTCCCTTGGCGTCAGCTGAATCCTCGTAATTGGCTCATGAGTACAATAAGTTCGATTAACAGTAATGTTCATATCTGCGTCTATTTCTGACAGGTCTGATAATTCAGACGGTGGGTCCTCGTCAGGACCTCCATCAGGACACACTTTTCCTTTCCTTGTCCTATTCCTTCTCTTTGTCAACATTATAAATAAAATACAGGGACAGGAAGAGGCAGTGAGAACAGATGCTGTCACGACTACTGCTATCTCCACTGGAGTAAGACCTTGTTTATTTTCCCTTTCCTTTTCAGTGTACGTAGGAGAGGTGGTTGTACTCCACTCTAAAAATGAAATAACACTCAATCGTTTCTCGCTCTTTAAGTGTAACCTTTATAATAAGGAGTTCACAACTTTAAATTTAGCATTGATGTGTTCCAACCCGCCACGAGAGGGTTATCAGAAGAACCTTATGCTCGGGTTGCACTGTGATTTCAGCCATCAGACATTAAAATCGGTATGATCTAGCTTGAAAGCCGTTTTGTTGCAAACTTGTGTAATGTCCTTCTAGCCAAATAACAAAGGGATTATATGAAATATACTCATTCGTTCCGTTTGACCCTTTGTAAACGAGGCCGGAAAACTGGCTGCTTGGGAACTATTTCTGTCTTATCTTTAAGCTTTGAAGACGAGATAAAATTTAAAATGGGTAATATTTTAATCTGGACGTTATGGTTTAAGACACGCTGCATCAAGATGGCTACCTTACCTGTGCTGCTGTAAACTTGTTGAGTGGTCTGCGGTGTAGGTGTGAATGGATCACACAGAAAATCAAACCCAGCAAGAGCAAACATTTTTGTAACAAGAATTTTCTCTGAAGCAGCTTCTCCAGGAACAAAAGGAGCGTTAAAAAAGACTTGTCCAATTGTCACCGCTGCTTCAAGTCTCTCTGTCAAGTTCTGGATTGGATACCTGTCGATTTCACCCTCGTTGCTCAAGGACAACTGTACAGACGTCTGGTAGAGAAACAGTAATATTAACAGAGAGCACAAAACTGACCCATTAACTTGCTGTGAGCACCCAGCAGACCCAATACAATAAAAACGTGTATCTATTATAATGAAAGTCTTTTCCTTGAGTCCCTTCGCAAAATTGTAAATTGATGTCTTGTTATTTAATATAAAACTCGAATCTCAAAGTGACGCATTTTTTATAGAGCGTTTATCGCATACTTTTGTCATAAGAGAAAAATGCATTTTACCGCTTTTGGCATGTACAGCTTTACAAAAATTGTTGTTTACATTTCAGTCGTTTTTACCTCATTGTAGAGCTTGAAGCGACGGATTCTGCTGACGTGTGACCTGCCCAACAATGTAACCAGAATAGACTGCAACTGAGTCTCTATGTTTGCGCTCATTTCTTGTGAGGCCTGTGGCAGAGCTTGGTCCAAGGTTAATAAAATATGGAGACTATGGAGATTTGAAAACATGACATTAACTAAAATGACATCATCCTTCCGAATCTTCTGCTACTTCGGTCGGGGTTTAAGGAAGGAAAAAACGGATATCCGAACTTTAAAAAAGTGGTAAACTTTTAACGAGTCTCAACTGAATATAAATTCGAAAATCGTTCTCCACATTTAACTACTTTTGTTATCGAGTTTTTGTAACAATCACTCTCTTACGCGAAACTGATCAGACTTTCCTCCTACATATTGACCTTCATTGAAGAAAACTGTAAATCGAATAAGGAAAACATTGAACTCAGCCCACGCGAACAGGATGACTGCTACGCTCGTATATTCGTTTCCTTATGCCGCACATTCTTTCACTTACTGCTGTGTACTATTAAGTCCAATACGGCATCAACTAGAAGTTAATTTAAGCAGTGAAACGTTGCATTTACTCGCTTGATGCAAACAGAACCACTTTTCAGTTTTTTCTTCATAATGATATTACAAACTTACTCTGTAAAGTGCTCGGTACTCCTGGCAGAGTAAATCTCAGGTAAGTCTATATCAGGTTCAAGTACAATTTTGCCTTGTTTAACCAAGCGTTGGATATTTTCTTGCAATGTCTTCAGGTCACTGTTTGAGGTAGTTCCATACAATTTGAATTTAATTCCATCCTGTCAGAGGAATGGACAAAGTGTTTAAAAAATCTAAAGCGTAGTCGAGTTCTTAGATAAATAGGTTAATTAATAACATGTTACGCGTTGCAACATATCTCGCGTCAGTTTCACCTTTCCGTAAATGGGTCAAGTCACACAGAATAAGCAGCAGCATACTTGCCTTTTGTAGTTGTAAATTATCAATGTTTAGCGCGGAGAGTTTTGGAACAAGTCGTATTATTGCTTCCTTAAACAGGTATTTTAGGCTATTTTGTTCCCCAGTAGATAAGTTCATCAAGTTCTGGCAAGGAAAAAGGACGTACATCGATAAACTGAAAAAAAAATATGAAAAAATGTGTTAGTTGTGTAGATTGTTCCCATAAATAAATTGTAAAAGGAAGGCATTTTATTTGAGCTGGAATTGTTAAGGGACAATTAATGTCAGGAATTGCGCATGGGCGACGTTTCGATGGACACTTGAAAGGTCTAGGCTGAATTTTTTAAGTTTAGTTCAACAAATTCAATTTTGCAGGGTCATATGCACCGCCGGAGAAAGGAGGAAAAAAGGAACTTGCAAATCTACTAGATCAGCCGGAATTTGATGACGTCCATAGTTAAAGACTCCACACATGACTCGCTGGATGATCTATTTGCTCATCAAATCACAAGACAAACTTGTAGTTGGGGACTTATGGCTAACATATTTTTATGCTTCCAGAGAAGTTGCACAAGCATCTCGATCCTTGGAGGCGCGGGGCAATTTCTCTCCGGGATAGCTCTGTGATTGGCGACTAATAAGTGGCCTCTCCAGCAGAAAGTAATATGTTGGGGTCTAGGGAGGAAATCGTTAGCAAAACTTGAAGGAAACTTCCCTGAGCGGTAAACATGGGTTTTGACACCATCTTATAGGGTTGGGCAGGCCAGTTTTATAGCCCACTTTAAGGAAAGACCGCATCAGAGAGCATTTTGGGGGTCTGGGAGGAAATGTTGCGAGATCATTGTATAAGGGTAGGAGGAGATAGGCTCCGAGTGTAGCACAATTCCTAAAGAAAAGGAATGGAATGGAACAAAACTTCACATAGGAAAAGGGGATGTTGCAATAGGGTTAGCTGCACGTTAACACATTTCATTGAACTGAGTAAAGCAAAGGATATAGGTCTCTCAGAAAGGCTTATACTCGGTTCTATTCAAAGAGTGTTGAGACGTCTGTATGTTAAATAAATATTTAGAAAAACATAACACAGCTATAAATCAGCTCAAGGCTCTTGTGCTTGCTTTACAAGTGGGTTTCTTGTACTTATGGCTATGCTTGTGTGGCACCTACAAAGCCGCCTTGTGTCGTTGCTGTCCTTGCAATCCAATTCTTCTGCTCCTGTTTTGTAAGCATGCTTTGAGTTTTAGTAGGCTCAACTAGTAAAATTTTGCAATCAGAATGGAAAGAAGAATTCTCTAACGAAATTCATTGGCAAACGACAACATCATAAACTGAGGAACATGTAACAAACTTGCACCTAAACGTATGTACGTGTGAATTCCAAATCACGTGGCTGTTTATTGATCTGAATACTGCGCGTGTTTGATTAGACCTCCATCGTGGTACCTAACCAGCTGCAACGAGAAGTCAAAACCACGCTCCTTCTGGAATATTTTTTGGCGCTGGAATAGTAAGTTGCTTTGCTCTGGCCCAAGCTTCCCTTGGCGTCAGCTGAATCCTCGTAATTGGCTCATGAGTACAATAAGTTCGATTAACAGTAATGTTCATATCTGCGTCTATTTCTGACAGGTCTGATAATTCAGACGGTGGGTCCTCGTCAGGACCTCCATCAGGACACACTTTTCCTTTCCTTGTCCTATTCCTTCTCTTTGTCAACATTATAAATAAAATACAGGGACAGGAAGAGGCAGTGAGAACAGATGCTGTCACGACTACTGCTATCTCCACTGGAGTAAGACCTTGTTTATTTTCCCTTTCCTTTTCAGTGTACGTAGGAGAGGTGGTTGTACTCCACTCTAAAAATGAAATAACACTCAATCGTTTCTCGCTCTTTAAGTGTAACCTTTATAATAAGGAGTTCACAACTTTAAATTTAGCATTGATGTGTTCCAACCCGCCACGAGAGGGTTATCAGAAGAACCTTATGCTCGGGTTGCACTGTGATTTCAGCCATCAGACATTAAAATCGGTATGATCTAGCTTGAAAGCCGTTTTGTTGCAAACTTGTGTAATGTCCTTCTAGCCAAATAACAAAGGGATTATATGAAATATACTCATTCGTTCCGTTTGACCCTTTGTAAACGAGGCCGGAAAACTGGCTGCTTGGGAACTATTTCTGTCTTATCTTTAAGCTTTGAAGACGAGATAAAATTTAAAATGGGTAATATTTTAATCTGGACGTTATGGTTTAAGACACGCTGCATCAAGATGGCTACCTTACCTGTGCTGCTGTAAACTTGTTGAGTGGTCTGCGGTGTAGGTGTGAATGGATCACACAGAAAATCAAACCCAGCAAGAGCAAACATTTTTGTAACAAGAATTTTCTCTGAAGCAGCTTCTCCAGGAACAAAAGGAGCGTTAAAAAAGACTTGTCCAATTGTCACCGCTGCTTCAAGTCTCTCTGTCAAGTTCTGGATTGGATACCTGTCGATTTCACCCTCGTTGCTCAAGGACAACTGTACAGACGTCTGGTAGAGAAACAGTAATATTAACAGAGAGCACAAAACTGACCCATTAACTTGCTGTGAGCACCCAGCAGACCCAATACAATAAAAACGTGTATCTATTATAATGAAAGTCTTTTCCTTGAGTCCCTTCGCAAAATTGTAAATTGATGTCTTGTTATTTAATATAAAACTCGAATCTCAAAGTGACGCATTTTTTATAGAGCGTTTATCGCATACTTTTGTCATAAGAGAAAAATGCATTTTACCGCTTTTGGCATGTACAGCTTTACAAAAATTGTTGTTTACATTTCAGTCGTTTTTACCTCATTGTAGAGCTTGAAGCGACGGATTCTGCTGACGTGTGACCTGCCCAACAATGTAACCAGAATAGACTGCAACTGAGTCTCTATGTTTGCGCTCATTTCTTGTGAGGCCTGTGGCAGAGCTTGGTCCAAGGTTAATAAAATATGGAGACTATGGAGATTTGAAAACATGACATTAACTAAAATGACATCATCCTTCCGAATCTTCTGCTACTTCGGTCGGGGTTTAAGGAAGGAAAAAACGGATATCCGAACTTTAAAAAAGTGGTAAACTTTTAACGAGTCTCAACTGAATATAAATTCGAAAATCGTTCTCCACATTTAACTACTTTTGTTATCGAGTTTTTGTAACAATCACTCTCTTACGCGAAACTGATCAGACTTTCCTCCTACATATTGACCTTCATTGAAGAAAACTGTAAATCGAATAAGGAAAACATTGAACTCAGCCCACGCGAACAGGATGACTGCTACGCTCGTATATTCGTTTCCTTATGCCGCACATTCTTTCACTTACTGCTGTGTACTATTAAGTCCAATACGGCATCAACTAGAAGTTAATTTAAGCAGTGAAACGTTGCATTTACTCGCTTGATGCAAACAGAACCACTTTTCAGTTTTTTCTTCATAATGATATTACAAACTTACTCTGTAAAGTGCTCGGTACTCCTGGCAGAGTAAATCTCAGGTAAGTCTATATCAGGTTCAAGTACAATTTTGCCTTGTTTAACCAAGCGTTGGATATTTTCTTGCAATGTCTTCAGGTCACTGTTTGAGGTAGTTCCATACAATTTGAATTTAATTCCATCCTGTCAGAGGAATGGACAAAGTGTTTAAAAAATCTAAAGCGTAGTCGAGTTCTTAGATAAATAGGTTAATTAATAACATGTTACGCGTTGCAACATATCTCGCGTCAGTTTCACCTTTCCGTAAATGGGTCAAGTCACACAGAATAAGCAGCAGCATACTTGCCTTTTGTAGTTGTAAATTATCAATGTTTAGCGCGGAGAGTTTTGGAACAAGTCGTATTATTGCTTCCTTAAACAGGTATTTTAGGCTATTTTGTTCCCCAGTAGATAAGTTCATCAAGTTCTGGCAAGGAAAAAGGACGTACATCGATAAACTGAAAAAAAAATATGAAAAAATGTGTTAGTTGTGTAGATTGTTCCCATAAATAAATTGTAAAAGGAAGGCATTTTATTTGAGCTGGAACATTTTATGACCCTATACATTGCTGCAGTACATGTGAATGTTCCACTTAAAGTTTTCAACTCCTATAAAGACAAACGCTTCTAGCTCCTGAAATCAACCATGCACCGGCCTTTGTATTGTTTGTGATAACGTACATATCATCATTAGTTGAAAGCAGAAAGATACTTCTTGTTAACATTAGTAGTATGGGTAATCAATATAGGAAGAAATCTTTTGACGCTATTAACTTTTATCTTTTCCGTGGATTCCAACGTAACTGAACAATCTCACAACACACACGCACAAAAAATGTCAAATGTTGTTGTTTACAGTGGTCAATGCGCTTAGCTACACCTAGCTAGTTCACAGGCATGCCATTTTAAATGAAGGAAACAAATATATCAACTAAACGTAATAGGCTTAAAAATCCCGACTGGCGGGAGTCAGACCAGTTGGCTATATACAAGCATGACCGAGGAGCTGAACTAAGGTCTACCGAGAATCAACTCCAGCTAAGTGGTCTGAGCGGGACTTGAACCCGCGACCTCCAGATTTCAAGTTCGGCGCCCTATCCACTCGGCCACGCTGCCTCCACGCCTCCACAAGTAAAACCTTTCACGGTCTTGTGTGATACCTTTGTCCTGTTCTGCATCCTGAACTGCATGATGGACTTTCTTCGTTTAAACACCAGTGGCAGCCTACAGTTTTCTGGCATTCAGTCATGTTCCCTCTACAAACAAACATAAGAAATAGCTAGAAATTATCATCGGTCTCTTCAGGAAGAGGGCAACTGACGGTTGAGCAGTGGTATCTTCACTGCTATTTTTAAAAAATAATTTAAGACGTTTGATGGGTATTTTAGACGTAATTAATATTCACCATATTAAATCAATGGCCAAAATGTACACGTTATTGTCATTTTGACTTAAAAAATCGTAGAACCATTGGCACTCACATTTTTAGACAATCCCGTGCGCATCTTGGTACTGTAGCAAGCGCCTCCTGCAAAGCTTTGTCTTCTTTTTCTGTGTCAAACAGCGGAGGAGCTGGGACTAGAAGAAACATGAGCAGTGTGAAGACAAGTGAATTGTTGTTTTACATTGACGAACACCTCGAGAATTCCACTTACCGGGGCAAGGTAATGAAGTCCAAAGTCTTGTAACAGAATTGTCGCACTCGTCATATGACATATGACATGAGCAAGGACACTAAAAGACAATTTTTTCATTAGCTCTCCGACTTAGCATTTCGTTTAACCAACGCACCTTTACCTAACCAGCAATGCTTTCCACAACATCGATACCCATTAGGTGTTATAGAAAAAACTTCAATTCGCAATTTTTGATGGAGTACCACTTCTGTTTTCGAAACTAACCTGACAGTTTAACATGACGTCAATCGAACAAACATTACAGAACTTCCCACAAAAACAATCCTGAAAGTAAATAAAGAAGCAATTAATTTGTATTTTAAAGAAGCTTACTTTCTGTTTATGATGTGCAAAAGATAGTGATTGTTAAATCACCAACATTCTGAAAGCGAACACCACTTATTCGTTAAAAAACATAATGCTCTAAGCTGGAGAGACATGAAGAAATAACTACGCCTCGCATGTCATTAGTGACTTTCATCATCCTTTACAGATTTTTGGTCACGTAACTACTTATTGGCTTCCGATAGACAATTCCTGTTTTCAGAATATGAGAATTTTCAATTGAAACCAATATGAATTCTGCGATTTTTCACGTCAATGACTCGTAGGCAAAAATTGTCGGTACAAACCTCGTTGGATGTGAGAGCGCTATCAGAACAGTTATTTACATTCCTGGATGGCAGTCCTAATAAGAACAGAGATGTGCCTTGCACTGGGCTTATATTGAATTGACGACAGGGATCGGAACTGTTTGAAGATGCACCATTGAGGTCCGAGAGCTCATAAAACATTTCAACTGCATGCTGCTGATAATCATTACACCAAGAAGCCTGAAAATCAGTTCAAGTTAGCCATTGCATTAGTCGTATTTTGTGGCAGGAAAAAAAAAATCTTCTATTTCTGTTTCAGAAAAAGGTCTAATGATGATAATAATTAAAGATTTATATAGCGCTAATATTATCGAGATATTCAAATGCGCTTTACAGAAAATGTAAATTTAAGATTTTCGTACTCTTACGTACTCACACTCATTCCATACTCATGTGGTTATTGTCATAAAATCGAACTCAAATAAGGTTTAAAGGCACTGCTCTGGGTTCATCTTTAAACGGAGTTGGAACGTAGAAAAGCCTATATCTGTCGTACAGGTTGGTGCAGAAACGCACTGTCGAACTTCAAAACGAGGTGGACAGGTAAAAAGTTTGTTTTTATAATACTTATTCTTCCAAAGTACGTGTACTAATATTGAACGACCGATTTTAGTAATGAGGTGAACTGATTACAATTATAAAAATAATTTAGTTCCAAGTTATAAATAATAAACAGTAAATAGTAAATAAATAATAATAAAATAGTGAATAATAAATAATACTTAACCGTTTAAGTTCTCGTTGTTGTTGTTGTTTTAACAGTAATAGTTTTCATCCTGTGGTTATATATTTACCGCATATGTGCTGATCGTTTCGTCGGTGTAAATCAAAAGGTACCGTAAGGAAGGGTACTTCCGATCCATTATTTTTGGTTTCACTTTTGTAGCGAAAGTATTTTAGGGATGGAAGGGATGGAGTTAGTTGCACTTTGGATGAGATAATAAGGTGATTAGGCAAACCATTGACATATATGTAAAATAGATTAGGCATAGACAAATCATTAATATATATATATATATATATATATATATATATATATATATATATATATATAACTGATTAGTAATCTATTCGTATTGTGTTTCACAATACAAAAGAAACAAAGCACTCGCCCGTGCCTGGGTTATGAGATAAACACACGCGTGCTACAAGAAAAAGACACGTTTGATTACGCTAAAAACAATACATTCATTAATAACGAAACCACCAAAGTTACAACAACTAAAACGAAAACGTCTAAACACAAGCAGGAGCTTTTATTCTAGCATGAATTCGCAATTTGCAATTGTAACTAAGAATCACGCGATGAACGCAGGGCGTAACTTTATTTTAAAAGCAAACCAGTCAATGTTCGCTAAGAGTGGGCTAAAACGGGCGAGTTTCTCGTCGTTTCTACTGTGAAACACAATAGAAATAGGTTTCTAATTTCTTATATTTATTAATGATTTACCTGTACCTACCTAATCACTTATGCATATTCATATCTTACCCAATCACCTAATCCCAAACGGTGTTAATTTCGCCCCTTGTATACTGCTAACGAAGTTTGATAAACCTTTTATTATATGGCTAGCTCCGTGAGCGGGCAAGATAAATCAAATCCTGCGCTGTGATTGGCTACCCGAGCGGGCAACATGGAGCTATCTTGCNTCCTTTATTGACCAAGCTTGTTCGGTCAAGATGGCTGGATATTGGCCTCGTTCTTTTTTTGCGAGTTTATGGACCTCGACTTCGTCTCGGTCCATAAACTCGCAAAAAGAGGACTTGACCAATATCCAGCCATCTTGACCTCACACTTGGTCAATAACCCATACATATATGCGCACTTGCGAGATGGTGACCGTAATTTAAACCATTTCAAGGATACCATATGTATGATACCCAATTACTTGGCAACCCCAACAGCCATGTTACCAAATCCTACCTTAAGAATCTTTTCGTTTTTGATTAATTCATTTGCCAGCCAAGGAATAACTTCTGTTATATGTTTCTTGTGAGCTTGTAAAATAGTGGAACTTGAGAAATTAAGCACGATGTGTCTAAAACGTTAACGAAAATACAAGAATAAATTATGTCACTTTTCATCGCTGAGAAAAGATCTTCCAAGCTAAACCAAGGTGTATTGACATTCCCATTCCACATAAGAGAGCTCTGCCTCTGTTTTAAAATTCTCAAGGTCACTTAAGGTGTACAATAAACAGTAACATGCATTAAAGGACAAGCATTTATCTACTGCAATAGAATTTAAAACTGTTATAGATTTGTGTTAAGTAGCTGATTTGTGTTGAGTGTAAATAAAACAAATCGATAACCACACCAAGGAAAATTACAAGAGAGTATTTGCTTGACGCAGACGCCTTTGACTCAGATTATCCCGATTTTGACTAATCACAGTAGTAACTATCTTAATAGCCATTTCATGTAAGTAGCTGTATGTAACTTACCCGCTGCGTTCGAGAACGTACCAAGTCATGTTTGTATCTTCATTCAAATCAACCTGAAGTGGATATGCAAATTACGGGGTTAAGCAATCATTTATTAGCCCTAACCCGTAACGTTTTTAAGTCGGAAGTCTAAAGCCACGAAATTAACTTGTTTTTATCCTTATCAGGTTCGATAAACATAAAAATAATTTTGTTTTTACTGGCCTAATGGCTATAGTGCGATGGTGTCATCGTGATGCGTTCTTGGAAAAGACGCTTTACTCTCATAGTGCCTCTCTCTAACCAGATGTACAATTGAGTACCAGCGAATTTAATGCTCGGGGGAGGAGTAATCCTGCGATGAACTATGAGAATGGAAACCGGCTTAAGCTGCAATGGAATGGGTCACTTTGGCTTGGTATAGACTTTCCCATTTAGATCCCTTAGTTTATATAGTTACCAGAGACAAAGATACCGTGAGTCAAGGTCTCAGGAGTAGACCCTTGGCATAAATGGGCCTAAATTAATTTGAATAACAATACGTTACATCCTAAACCTCACATTCATGTGAAAAAACCTTTGTCTGGAAATATACGTACGACGCTAAGGATGTATAAAGTATTGTTATTCAAATTTAGTCGCCATTTCTGAAAAGAGTCTATGACTTCACAGTAGTCACTAGTCCAGACAAGACGTTATACACTGTCTTCTACCGTCACTTCTAAATGATTTTGCACGAGGCATTGCGTGTTAAATGAACTTACATTATCAGTAATAAGCTGTAAGAAAGCACTTTCGGTCATCTCCATTCCCATAACCGCTAGCAAGTCTCCCAACTGACTACCTTCGCAGCTGCGCATCAAAAGAAATAACAGAGATTTTGTTGGCAACACTTACAACGCAAGAACATCCAAAAAGTGCAACAGAGACTGGTTTAAGCTTAAGCTTAAGCTTACATGTTCATCACAAGACTTGCCTGGTCTTTCGTATAGCTTTGCTAAAGCTTAACATTCTGTCTTGCTCATAAACCGAGGTTCTCAATGATACCACTAGTTTCTCCGGAGATGACGCTGCTTGCCTATACCTGTCAAATTACAATATTCATATCAAGGTAATACCGTCAACAGAAATAGCGTAACTTTCGTCTTTTATCTATTGAACCTATTTTTCATTATCTTCTCGTTTCATTTATTTAAAATCCATTTATTTATACTTATCTGCCTGTATATTTATTTATTCCACTATTCGTTTTGGATTGGTTTCTGAAAACGTATTTTTTTTCAATTGACTGAAGTAAGTACAACTCTTATTGCATAAAGACAATTTCCTTTATACTTTCACAATTTACTGGGGCAAATTAAAACATGAGTTATAACTAAATAATATATTTAGTCTGAGGGCGAAACCTGCAGATAAAAAGAAAGATGTTGGACTGGTGTTTGGTGTTTTTTTTGTTTGTTCTTTGTTCGGCTTTACTTGCTTCAATGTACAGCGCTGAGTTAAAGCTGGATTCCCTAACTTGATGCAGATACAATGCAGTCCGCTATGTTGTTGATGTTGGTACCTTTCAATAGCTTTAAATAAATATTTTTCCTTCGTTGTTCACCCGTAAGCTCAGAAATAATGCAGTCATGTACTGACCAAGACTGTTGTCGGTGAGAATACGTCTTTTGCAGTCGCAGACCAGGATATGTTCTTAATACTCCTTGTTCAGTTCCAACAAACCTGGTAAGAAAAATAATCATCAATAGCACACTTGCACGATATCGTCATTTGACTACATCTACTAAAATTTAAATTTTTTTAAACCACAGAGGGGTGACAACTGGGCCAATTAGCATGAGAAAAACATAACGTGAAGTTAAGGATTTCTGATACTTGTAGTCAAATGACGCCACCATGCAGTTTGATGGAAATATTTCTGTGTGCAATGAGATAATGCGCATTTTTTCGTCCCGTGCTCACCTCCAGGTAACTACATCCGGGTTTGTAAAGTCAGCTCTACGCCAGATCTCTTCTAACTCTGAAGTAAGTATCACTTCTGCGCGAACTGCTTTACTGAAACCTATACCAGATCAGTGAAATGCGAGTTACCAAAAATATGATTAACAACTAATAATAATATTCTTTTAGCTGCTAAGATAACAATGATATTATCTTTTGAGCAGGGATTTGGAACATATCGTCTCCTAACAGTGTTTTATCAATAGCTATCTTAATATATTTACATACAGGCATCTATATTGTTTGTTGGTAATAAAGCCAGACCTTTATATTGAGCTTGAGAAGTGTTGTCATTAAAAAACCGTTGGATATCTTGCACATCCTCTAGGGTCTCCGTCCTATAGACATATTCATCAGAATCGTTGAAGGCAACTGGGGCTATCTGAAATTCAAACGAGAATATCTGAACTGACTCTGACTTAACGAAGAAAAAATGTAAGAGTCCATTCTTTTTATTTCCATTGATTGTCGACGACATTTTTACAAGAGAGAATACTCTAAAGAGGGACTTTGTCAAAACTCAGCTGTACCAGGAGCCCATCACTAGGAGCGTGCAACTCCCGGTAAGGAAAATAATGGAAGTTTTTCTTTTTATCTTCAGGTGAAATGATGACGTCAGTTAAAAAGTCAAGTCCGGGCTTGTGATTGGTCAGTGGGTTCTGAACTCGCGGTAAATTCAAACTAAAAATAGATCGGTCTGTGAAATCGCCATGACAGGAATATGGGGTAGTTGCACGCTCCTAGTGATGGACTCCTGGCTGTACGCAGTTCCTGCGCAGCTGCAGGCCCTCAGAAATACCCGCCCTGTATGATTAGAACGGGTTTTCAAAACTCAGTTTCACAACTGCCTCCAATTACTTTTCTTCAACCAAGATTTACCTAATTATTTTAACCGTTTATTAATGTTTTCTTACATTGTTGAATTGTCTAGAATTAAAATTTCTTTTTTTCGTTATGTGTAATATTAGAACTAAAATCTGTAAGTCAAAGGTAAAGTTGATAAAGCATTGGTAAAACTTGTCAAAGGGTGACGTGACTTCAATTCTAAGATTAACATAAATTACGAAAGAATGAAATTACCTTTACAGTGGACGACATTGGAGAAATGAGAAGATTTTCTCTCAAACTGCAGACCTCGTCAGGATGGGAGGTGGTATCGTTCCACACCAAATCCAAGCGATGATAGAACGATGATGAAATCTGCGCATTATCTTTAAACTACAGAAAAACGTTCAAGAAGTAGAAAAATTTCATCAGTGGACCGAGAAAAGAAGATTCTACGAAAAATTGGCAATCTAGACTAGCAGGTGATGTTAATAATCCTGCAGGCAAAACTAGGAAATCAAATCAGCGAAAAAACGTAATTTCTAACATTGTATAAACATTTTTCTGTCTTGTTCTGTCTACTTTACAACCACCAAAGAACACAAACTTACCGACGTTAAGTCTGTTGTAACAGATTGTCCATCAGCTACCACAAAGACAATGGAATAAGCGCTGTTTCCTACTGGTGACCAGAGGTACGTGGCGTTAGTGTGAAATATGTGTGCTCCATCTGTAGACTGATCACCAAGTGGCACAGGAAACCCAGCCTACAACAATTAAAAGATCATTTTGTTCCTACTATATTTTCACTTGTGATTTTGAAGCGAGACAGAGTGAGGCGATCTTATATTATTTCTAAAAGTAAACATAAAGAGTGTTTCAAAGATGAATTGGCACTGTTTTGTACTGATTGTAGAGCGAGAGGTGTTCGCAGAAAGGACGTGGAACATACCAGTTTTCTTAGAAAATGGCTATTACCACGTAAAAGTGTTGCCTTGTCATGTAAAAAAGTAAGGCCTGTGAAAATCAAGTTACTTACATTAAAGTGCTGGTGACCGGAACCTCCGCTTGTTATGTTCAATATGACGTCAGGAGGCAGCCCGCTCTCAAATAGAGACAGTGGTAAAAAGGAGCGGCTGCTTGTGGTGTCAGTGGGACCAGGAAGAGATGGGTGCAAAATAGTGCGACCTGAAAAGAAGCCGAATATAACGTACATAATAACAAGTTATCCGGTAATAAGATCTTTGGAGCTTTTGAACAGATGTTGAATATCTTTTGAGTTTTAGTTCAGTACTAGTCATTGTTCGAATCTCGTTTCCTTAAGTCACCGGGATAATAACAAAGTAACGCAATAAATATGTTTGTTAACAGTGGTCAATGCTTTTAGCTACACCTAACTAGTTCACAGGCATGCCAAGTAAAATGAAAGTAAACTGCGCAAAGATAATCCAGCCTTTATCTTGGTCAAGCTTAGTCCAGCTCTGAACTTCATTCAAGAAAACTCTTAATTCACGAAAATCAATTGCCATTATTTTTATTGATAGTTCACGACATTACCTTCCTTGTCTACAAGTATAGCATAGGACAGCGAGGGAGACGACATCTGGAGGGCCTCTTTGAAAAGGTGCTCCAGAGGCAGGTCTAACGCCAGCACTCCTTTAAATGATCCATTTTCAGTCAGTGCAAGTGACATCGTCACCATAACACCAAGCCTCGAGTCAATGTAAGGCACAGAGAGTCTGGGCTCCTGTCCAAGAGGAGACTCGATGGATGTATAGTAACTTCCCATGATTCGTTTTAACACCCTTCTGTGTTGATCTCTGATTTCGAAAAATACGCCGCTATTGTTGGAGGCGATTATTTGTAGTCTTTTGAGGCCTTTAGAAGATATGCCAACACCAAGGGCGTACGTGTTTATTTGGACTGTCATGTTCTATAAAAATAGGAAATAAAATAAATTTAGTTTTAAGAACAAGCATACGACTATGCGAAAACGCTACAAACAGCATGCAATAACACATGCTCCTAATAGGGCAATGAATCCATTGGAGCGTTTAAGAATTTAATGACAAAAGTAACATAGCTAGAGTTAATAAATAACCCTGTATTAAAACTCCATTAAAATTCTCAACAAACCCTTCTCATTAATGTAATTCATTCGCACGTTTTCGGTTGCCATTTTATTTCCGCAATCTTTCATATTCTCTCTGATGGAAAATTAAACTTCAGCTTACCATTGAAGTTCATAAAACCATGAGTCATCCTATGTGACTGGTATTCAGAGACAAATTACGCACCAATCTTTCCTGCCCTTCTTCAATTTCTTGATATATTTGTGCTTTATCAGCATCATTTGGATTACCATCCGTGAGAAACAAGATGATGTTACTTCTCCCAGAACCCTGACACAAAACAAAACATGAAATTAACGCTCACAAAGGCGGTCCTGATTATTGCAATAAAACCTCTGATCTGTACCCTGTATACACTGTGATAATTAACTGATGAAAATTAATGATTCGTTAGATGACTCACCTGATTTCTGGTGACATTTTGAAACATGGCGAAGGCGTGTTTGAAAGCTGGGGCGTAATAGGTATATCCTGAAACAGAGGCAAACATTTTTGTTCTTATCCAGATAACAACACATCTGTGCTGTTTAATTTACTCCTTCTTCGGCTTCCACGTGGCGTTGCCAATAGACCAAGATACTCTTGGAAATTCTTGCTTTCAACTTTTTTTCGAATAGTGGCGTGTATAATAATGAATATATTTTAGGCCCAGTTCAGACGTCGTGCTTCTGCCGTGCCGAACTAAATTGCGATTAGGTTTGACTGTAGCACGGCAGGAAAACAACTTTGATTCAGACGTCGTGACAGAGTCGAACCAAATTCGGGATATACTGATGCCTCGTAACAATTCTCGTCCTAACTCCCCGTGGGAACGCAATCTCGCCAAAATACATAAATATAATTTATGAATTTTGTTTAGCGCGGCAGAAGCACGACGTTTGAATCACTGCCGTGCTAGAGTCGTGTAGCACGGCAGAGCGTGTCGAACTTAATTGCTTACCGAACTTAATTCAAAAGTTTGATTCAGACGCCGTGCTTCTTCCGTGCTTTTGTCGAACTTAATTCCTGAATTTAGATCGGCACGGCAAAAGCACGACGTCTGAACTGGGCC